TGCAAAATATTGGCCTACTACTGAATAATATATGTTTGTAAAACAGTGTTGAATTAGATATGTTGTAAAACATAATATTGAATTAGGTATGTTTGCAGAACGTAGTATGTATTTGATGTTTGTAAAAAAACAGTATTGAATTTGATGTTTGTAAAACATAGTATTGAATTTGTTATGCTGCAACCAATCGAAGTCGAAGATGTATTCAATGTGTGCAGAGGAATGTCAGAAACATTCAACTCATACAAAGGACAAAGGATATTTCATAATTAAAGCAATGTTAATGTATCAAAACTTAAACATAGATTAAATGCAGTTTGTAAAAGGAACTCAGGATCATATCAATAGAATGATATACATTATTACATACATGGTCGTTAATATGTAGGATTAATAACGACTGAGATTATCGTAACCACAAAATGTATAAAACTTAATCACATAAAATGCTGGATATTTTTGTAAAGAGTTTTAAAAATAAACTAAAGGTTTGCCGAGCATTATTCTCTGGCAGGTTTTGTCTCGTTTGGATGTCGTAAAAACATCGTCACCTTAGCGCCATTTTGAAAGTGATAAATAATATCAAACGCACATTTTCAATGCAGTCTATAAATAAACAAAGGCATACGTATAATTATGAAAGATACGGAGACTATCACAATAATTGTGGCATAACTGCAGTACAACAGATCAATTCAATGACTTGAGTGTTGAGCCGAGTGGAACTGATTGATTTCATGATTCTGTTCATGGCCAGCCAGTAGACAAGCCATTATTTTCTTTTATCATGAATGGGAAGTGATTATTGTCAAATATTTTATTGCATTATGATACTATACATTTGCCCAAAAGGCATTTTATATCAAAGTTAAAAAAAAACACAAAACATTTTGAAGCTATTGCGAATGGCAGAAACTCGACCAAGTAAACATACATTTTATAAAAAGGTATGCATGGCTCAAATGTACAACAAAGGCAATGGTACCGTATTTAAATATTTAAAGCATGTTTATAAATTTTAGTATACACATTTTAACATAATATCATACATTAAAAGTTAAAAAAAAAACACATTCAATAAATGCTAATAAATAGCTTATTATGAAGTATTGTGCATGATCACGTTGCAAGCATACTTAAAGTATGTGCATATTCCAGTTAATTTTTTGTGTTATTTTAAATCTGTCAACAATAATTTCAAATTAAGGTCATCATTTTTATTTTTTAAAAAGAAAACTGAATTTTATTCCTAGTTTGAAACAGTGTGTTCATAACTACAAGGCGTCAGGTGATTACACCATTTTGTCTTAGAGCCTGGCTATATTTCACATTGGTGCAGGAGGTGGTTGACCACACCATTTCGTCTTAGAGCCTGGCTCTACTTCACATTGGTACAAGAGGTGGTCAAAGGATAAGTATAGAACTTGTGCAACTCGTTCGTCTTCCACCTTACAAAGTTTCAGCTGTTGGTAACAACACATTTCAGGGAAGTGCAGTTACTCACACCTTCATGAAAACACTATTAACGTCTAAACTCTTGGAATAATGTGTCTTTTTTCAATTGAACCAACTGCTGGAAGACAATACGGGTAGACACAATATTGAGACATACGACCCCATATTGTCTTTGGGATCCTTGCTGATAATCGGTTTAGAATACTGAAAAATGTAAATAAAACGTGGATGTGACAAAGTTAAAGTTCAGATGATTGTGAATGGAATCAACACTAGTTTTGTTTAGAGAGTGTGTGTGACTGTGGCTGAGCACTTGTGCCAAATGAAGTAACACACAAATACTCTCCTAGCCAGTGGCATGTGATCGTAGCATAAAGATGGTATAGCTGGTTTGAGAACTTAAAGTGTGTTTCGAAATAATGCTGATTATTTTTAATTTTAAATAAATGATTATATACTTGATTCTAACTTGCCTTAATAATTTGAGCAGTCTCCGAACGATTCTTATCAGCATGATAGTGAATCCATTCACTATAAGGATTCACTATTGCTGTAACGATGGAATTTCTTTAGTCTGAAGGAATGTTAATAACTTTGTTCAATGTTCACAGTCTCATTGTTCATTTCAATTGTACTAAAATGGTAAAAATTTAAAAAATTCGACCAAATTTCCGTTCGAACAAATATTCGTCGATCAATTTTCCGTCAACGAAATTTCTTTCAAACAAATTTCCGGTAACCGTTGCACATGCCAGTACATAGATTCAGCAACGTACCCTAAAAGAACCAGAACCAGGACATACAAAGTCATACTTTATAACATACAAAGCCATACTTTATAACATACAAAGTCATACTTTATATCATACAAAATCATACTTTATAACATACAGTCATAATTTATAACATAAAAAGTCGTCAAATATATATTTCTTATTTTTACATGTATGATAAAAAATCTGTACAAATTTGTATACCACGGTACATAATATTATAATAACTATATAAGTCATTTTGCATAAAGCTTTTTAAAATCAATTTCCAGAGCATGAATGTCGTAAAAACATCATCAGACTTTTTAAATATATATATATATATATTTTTTTAAAGCGGTATATCTAATGTTTGCAAGACAAGTAGAGTAGTATAAATAATGGCCATTCAAAGGTCCTCAAATAAAAACAGTTTACGCTTTAAAGACGCAATTTGTTTTGTCAAAATGTGCGGCTGCATGAACTTCACGATTCTGCTCATCGTCAATGGATGGACATAACTTTAGACACTTAATAATACAATAGAAGTTATTAATGCCAAATTGGCATATTTTACACCACAAAATTTTTTTTAAAAACAAGCCAAACCCCCCCCCCCCCAACATGTTGAAACTAGTAAAAAAAACACATTTTCTCTCAACTATGCATGCATTTTATATCTAGAACGGCTACAAAAATAAAATAATTGTACATCCATATTGTAACAATGTTTAGCTATTTTATTTGAGATTTTGACACAATTTTATGCATATAAACCAAAACAACGTATTTTTAGGCTCAGTTCACACGATTAAACTTTCGTCAAATTTTGGTAAAATGTATTTTTGGAGCGCACTATGCTGTGATACAAAATAGTACGTTCAAAAAATTTTTTTACGAAAATTTGATCGTGTGTACTGAGGATAAGTTATATGCTTCTTAAATTACATGCATAACTTTGTTAATTAGAAAGTTAACTATAATCTCTAAAATTTATTACATTGAAGGTTCTCATTTCAGCTTTAAAAATTTATATTGCCAACGTCAACAATCTCAACCAGACCAACACATAAATAGAAGGCATCGGGTGATTATGACATACTTTGTGTGTGTGTGTGTGGAGGCTGCCTTTCTTTCGGATTCTGTCAGCAGGTAGGCCTACACGCCAAGGACTTGCGAAGCTCTTTTGTCATCAACTTTGCAAAGTTTCAGGGTCGGTCACTCCCAAATTCAGGGTAAATAATGCTAATGACACCTTCATAAAACACAAGTAGGTCTGCCTTCTTCCTAAACAGAATGAATTTTTTCTTTGCTGTGTTATTAACTACTGCGATATGACAAAGTTAGACACACATTAAGGTATCTTTATATGACCACATTTTTATCAAAGTGACAAGTCCATAAATTTTAAATTATACGTAGAAGCGACGTAGTTAAAGGTCGAAGATGATATTGGATGGAATGTAAACCAGTCTTGTTTAGAGGGTGTGAATCAGACTGAACACGTGTCATCAATGACGTAGAACACAAATACTCTCAAATCCAACAGCCCATGGTAGTAGCATACTGACCGCTTTGGTAGAATAAGAACTTAAGACGTCCTGCGAATTGATGCCGGATACTTGGCTTGAAAACTTGTCTTTATAATGTGTACAGTCTCTGAACGAATGTTATCTGTATGTTAGCGAATCTATTTGACATTGCCGAGTCCAGGACTATTCTCACCCCAGACTTAAGGATATCTTATAATTTGGTCTCACAGCCGCATTCTTCATATCATTTTAGAATAAAGTTCTAGTTAATTGAAGTATTGTATTTGTCACAAAGCTTTATGGATTGTCTTTCACTCTTCCAATAGTCTTGCGCTTTTTATTCGTGTAATTTGGTGTATTTTTCTATAGTTCCCGCATAGTTGTGTACATTTATGTACACTGGCATAGTTAAACATACAACTTTTATAACGCTGTATATTCCCATGGTTCACACAAAGTACTTTAATAGTGCTGTACAGCCTCATTTATGTACTTGTATATTGCTGCACAGATCAATCATTCATTCCTCCATATACTTGCCACATCTACTTGTCCGTTGTCATATAGTCAATATACTTGCCACATCTACTTGTCCGATGTCATATAGTCAATATACTTGCCACATCTACTTGTCCGTTGCCATATGGTCCATATACTTGCTACATCTACTTGTCCGTTGCCATATGGTCAATATACTTGCTACATCTACTTGACCGTTGCCATATGGCCCATATACTTGCTACATCTACTTGTCCGTTGCCATATGGTCAATATACTTGCTACATCTACTTGACCGTTGCCAAATGGTTCATATACTTGCTACATCTACTTGACCGTTAGGATATTGTCAATATACTCTCTACATCTACTTGTCAGTTACCATATGGTCCACATACTTGCTACATCTACTTGTCCGTTAGGATATTGTCCATATACTCGCTACATCTACTTGTCAGTTACCATATAGTCCACATACTTGCTACATCTACTTGTCCTTTAGGATATTGTCCATATACTCACTACATCTACTTGTCAGTTACCATATGGTCCACATACTTGCTACATCTACTTGTCAGTTACCATTTGGTCCATAGACTTGCCACATCTACTTGTCCGTTGCCATTTGGTCCGCGGCTGCTTATTGTGTATTCACAGCTGTCCCCTGTCCGTTGAGGACGTTCCACTATCCGCCACCTGGTGGACGCGCTGGGTTGGGGATGGTCGCCCCTCGTTTGCCCAGGACTTCTCTTAATCGATTTTTGTTAACGTTTGTGGCTTTCTTTTAATAAATGAAACCATTTCTTTGATGATCATCATCCGGTTGGTAGACTCCATTTCCAAAAAGATACCTATGTTAATATAATTATAGTATCTTACAAGAGTTTGGCATGATATCCATTTCACTGCACAATGTCCTTTAGGCAGTCACATGACCACTTGGTGTTAAGGCTGTTTAATTTCTTTAAGATTCAATGGGTAATTGTTGGAGATAACTGGGTAATTGGTGGAGATAACTGAGTAACTGATCGGGAATACTAGGTAATTGATGGGGATACTAGGTAATTGATGGGGATACTAGGTAATTGATGGGGATACTAGGTAATTGATGGGGATGCTAGGTAATTGTGAAGATAACTGGGTATTTGATGGGGATAACTCAGTAATTGATGGAGATAAGTGGGTCATTTAAGCCATTGATTATAGTTTATGGATAATGTACATTTGCATTCTCTTCTCTGACTTTGAGCTTAATCCAATAATAATCATGCCACTTATGGTCTCTTTTATGATTCACTTGAGACCATATAAGACTTCAGACTTCCTTGTCTTGTCGACATTACAGACTTTTCAGCAGGATGTATGATATTGTTGCATAAGTAAGAATAGTTGTTACGATGGATGACCATACAATTTAAAAAAAAAAAAATTGTTTCTGTCATCCGCCCGCCATATAAGGCGGTGGTTTATACTTCGCAGGACTAGATCATCCTTTCCATGGATCAAACTAATCACCACACAGGTCTCATTTATAGGAGCTTTGTCTACTTATCCACAACGAAAAAAACTGGATAAGTAGTCCAAGAACACTCGGTAATGTATTCCGAGTCTACTTGACGTGATGTTCTGAACGTATCTTCTCCATCCGGGCTTCAGCCACCAAACGTTACTGTTGAGCATTTAGGCATTGGATTCAAAGCGCGTTTCACTTGAATCACACCGTTATAGAAAACTTTAAATTTTAAAAAAGATAAATTAAATACATATTATTTACAGCAGAAGCTCGTTAAAGTCAAGAGTTTTAACTGTGTTTTCACTTAACTTTGAATGCTGCTCCTTATTTACAATGATTTATAAATTTTGTCCAAAGAGAAGTCTTGTTGCCGAGTCTCTGGAATAGAGAGAAATATTTCACTATTAGAAAAAAAATCAACCAGTGGATACAAAACGTATTGTGTGTGTGTGTGTGGGGGGGGGGGTAATTCTTTCATTTAGCCCCATACAGCACAAGATACGCCTAATAATGACAGGGTGGATTTGATCAATTGACATTCTTCGGTAAACACCAATAAGGTGCAGGGAATTGGGTCTGTACATTTGATGTGGAGGACAATATCTGGAATCCAGTCGGGAAAAAATAGGTGCTACATTTTCTTTTACCAATTCAGGAAATATAGTTCAATGGCGTTGACATAAGGGTACGACTACCTCAAAACAAAAAATAATAACAATTAAACCAAAAATCCAATAATTTTACAATCGTGAAAATGCAAAAATGCAATATTAAAAGTAGAGCCCTATTTTTTTTTTGTTTCCTTGTACAATTCATGGGCGCGAAGAAAGCTGCGTTACTATTTTCTTTCAAAATATGAAAGTCGTTCTTCTTTACTTTGCGAAGAGTAAAGTTCGTGAGCGATAAAGTGAGTGTAGGCGACATTCTTATGAGAGGAACACTCTTTCTTTCTTTAAAACAACAACCACACGTCAGGCTGTTTCAGACGTGAACATGTCTTAGGAGATGCTTTTACTGAAGACAAAATTCAGCATTTTACGATTGTCCAATAATAGAGTGGATAAGAGAGGCGAAAGTTTGGTTCAATTTTGAATGAAGATTCCAATGTATCCAATTTCGTCAATGTTCAAGAGATTTCAAATGGTGTTAGAGAGATGTGGGGTGGTCATCTCCTGTGGGGTGGTCATCTCCTGTGGGGTGGTCATCTCCTGTGGGGTGGTCATCTTCTGTGGGGTGGTCATCTCCCGGACACGTTTTGACAATTGTCAGAGAGAAACTCATGTAGTTCAAGGGCGCGAAAAATGGTAGTTAGGGCTATAGGATTAGGAATGGTTCTCAAAACTAAATGTTAGAAACTTAAACCTCAGAACATCGTTACTTATTTTTAAAAGAATGAATTCTGATCAACTCTTTCTGAAATAGACCATTTCACAGGACGCTTCCTTTGGCGTTGTGCCGAGCATAGGGCACGTCTGGGAGCTACGCTGGTGTGGTGTTGTTACACACACGATTGAAATGCAGAAAATGTATTGTCCAGACACAAGTTGGATTTGATACTTCAATAGAGTATAACTATTAAGCGTCCATCAGTAAGTAATCTCACTCCCATACCGACATCACCCACACACTTAAAATTTTGAAGTATCTTTTTGAAGTATCTTTTTGAAGTATCTTTTTGAAGTATCTTTTTGAAGTAGTTTTTTGAGAAAACTATAAAAACAAATAATTTTTTATCTAAATGTCCATACATTTTTTTTTTGCATGCATCCAAAAAGTACGACATTTTCACAGCGCAAAATAACCTTGGATGAAGATTGGAATTTTTACTTTAGAAAAAAATATTGAATATATTTTAAGTTATTTTTCCATTGAAAAAAAAAGTGAAGAAAATTCAACCTATGACACTACAAAAATGGTTACCTCTGATTGTCCCCTGTTTGCCGCAGTACTTGTAGATGATCGGAACACCTTATGTCTAGGACAGTTGGATGAATGCCACACGCTCTAACCGTTATGACGATTGTACTTCCTGGATGGGCCGCCCTGTCCGCCATTGTGACGTTACTGGGGTTTCGAACAGTCCCCCTCGCGGTGGATAAATCAATATCACCTTCAGGGTGCACGTCTATATCATCGCCATCTTCATCTGTTCGGTTAGAGCGGTGAGGATTATCTCTTAAAACGACATTCAAATCACGAAAGTTGAGAGACTCAGCCATTTGTGGGTATGCTGTGATAGCGCAATTGCGAAAAACACGTCTGGGTGCTAGGTGTTCCATCTACAAGTGGGGGAAGTAGTTCCTTGTCATGTATCATTGCGCTTTAACAAATTATACCCAACCGAAAAAAAAGGGGAAATTATTAAATTAACTGAAACGGAATTTTTTATCAAAGCAAAATAAAGATTGCTATAAGAGCTTTGCATTGGAGCGTAAAACAAATCAAATAAGTGTAAGTTAAATGCAACTTGGAATGAGAACTTTATGTTTTAAAATAGAACGCCATCTTGGGCCAAAAGGCACTTATCTATAATATACTTCCCATTGAGGCGAAACTGAAACATATCCCTCTACGAGCTAGCAAGCAGGATCATTGTGCACACTTCAAGGTGAAGCTGAAGTAGGTCAAATATTACACGAACGCCGTCAACATTACAGGTGATGTATTTGAAAACCAATATACTGCCTCCCTTCAATATTTATAATATATCGGAAACAATGAATTGAGTTCAAATTAGGTTGTCATCATGTTCTGTTGTTTTCCTTAATATATTTCGATAAATAATGTCTGTGTGTGGGTGGGGGGAATTGTGGGGGGGGGGGGGGGGGG